GGTTCAATTAGTAAAGAATGAACATTTTACAAAAATTTCAAATTAAATTAGGGCACCTCAAAATTTACTTGTAAAACCCAATAATAACATCAAAAAAATTTTCATAAATATTATTTAATGATGTAGTTAATACTAGTCCTGTTGCTCTTTTCAATTCACCACTTTTCTTACAAAATAAAGAATTATTGAGACTGGTTGAGTAGAACCAGAGATATTGTTTTCCCAATATGACACCATCAGAAATGCCACTTAGGTGAAACAGGTAAAAAAATTTATTTACACACTCTTCCTCCGAAGAAAAAGTATCTCAAAATGATCCAGGGGAGTAATCGGGATGCATTTTGTCATGGTGCCTTTTCTTCACTACCTTAGTGAGGCCAAGAGAGGCTGCCCTTTTTTTATTTATTTTTTAGCAGTACTTGTGCTACGCCGCAGGTCCTTTTCCCTTGCCCTGTAAGACCCGGTAAGTATTATGTCCACATTAGGTTCCGCTAGCACAGCCGCAGCAGCGTGCTCATTACTGGCATTAAAACACAGCACAGCCTCCGCTACAGCTGCCTGTACTGCAAACAATAACCAGTGCTGCTCTTTTGCCAGTAAGCTCCAGATTACTGAGTGAAAAGACTCGTTTGAGTTCTGGGTCTTTCTCCTGGGTCATCTTTGCAGCAGTCTCCTCTCAACCAATCGTTGGTAAACCCGCAAGAGAGCTTCAGCCACATCACTAGGCAAGTTATATTTGTACTTGGGCTCTGGGCCCCTTTAGTCTTTACTGCATTGTGGCGGCACCAAGATTATTCACCAGTTGATGGTTAGGGCAACTGTCACTAGAGGTGACATGATGAAACGTAGCCATCACTGCCTGGCTCATCATCACCACGTGCAATTTTAGCGCTCGCCCATTGTAGACAGTTCGGCGGTTAATCTCCCCTTGCCTCCAAGGCTTCGTTTACCTTCCCCCTTGCGTTGTTGTACTAGGTTGTGTAGTGCAGTATCCATATGTTTCGTGACGTGGTTTACGCAATCCTCCTCCTCGGTGACATGATGAAATGTAGCCATCACTGCCTGGCTCATGGCTTCAATATCACCACGTGCAATGTTAGCGCTCGCCCATTGTAGACAGTTCGGCGGGTCAATCTCCCCTTGCCTCCAAGGATTCGTTTACCTTCCCCCTTGCGTTGATGTACTAGGTTGTGTAGTGCAGTACCCATATGTTTCTTGACAAGGTTTACGCAATCCTCCTCCTCCACATCAAAGTAGCCATAAATGTTCAATTCTTTTATGCCGCTGTACACGTGGCTGTCACCATCGCACAACACCGTAGTATAACGAAGGTCATGCAACTGAAGTGATCGTTTGAACAAAAATTTGCCAGGTTCTACCGCCATTCTCACTGCGACAGTCCCATCGACGAAACAATAATCATGGCTGTCCGGCCGTTCCCACTACAGAGCATCGCACGCGTGGATATAATGTTTACCGCAAATGAATTGCAGGACTTATTAGTATGGGCTCTGCACGAGTCGCACTTCGTGATCATTTTTTTTTTTAGTGAGGCCGTAGTAGCGGTCACCCCTAACAAGTTTTGCGCACTCGCCACATACTATGCAACATAGGGCAGCAGTGAGCAGCTCATTCAGGACCTCCATAACAACCATCACATACGAAGCTGCAGGGTCTGCGGCAGAGGCCGGTGACGCTGTTGCCGGTGTCGACTCGAGTCGATCAAGAATGTCCTGCTCACGAGCACTTATTTGCGCTATTTTGCTGCTCGTGACAGCTCTAGCGTCAACTCGCACACAGCGCGATGAATGCCGTCATTGTCGTGAGGATCACTGTCAGCTGCCGCACTGCGGGTCGCTTGCTGATCACTTGTAGAGGCCCGTGATGGCATGCCCGTATCTTGCAGACCCCTATCACCTCCGCTGACGATATCGGATGCCCCGGCACCGCGAGTTGCGTGGTCGTCGGTTGCAGTGCCTTTGTGGAGCGGACCGCTATCACCTCCATCGTCGTTATCGGGCGCCGAAGCAACGACGGCCGCCTGCTGATCGGTTGCGGCAATCAGTGACGTCGTGCCATTAGCACGTTTTTTTTCATTTGGCTCGCCTTCGGCCAGTTCACTTCTGTCAAAAGGGATGCTTCCTTGGAGGGAACATGTTTTATAATGCACTATAATATCTATGGTGCAGATTACACAGTAGCTCCTAAGTAGAAGTGTCATGCCTTCTCCTAAGTAGAAGTGTCATGCCTTGACAAGAAAAGTAAACAGCGATTCAATTGAGGCTGTTCAAATCATGCACCTCATGCAAGGGGCGGAACAACAGTCCTCGACCACATTCTCAAGAAAAGCAGATCTTTCATGCAACACCACACATCACATGTCAAGAATACCGAATAGCAAGGCCCATGCGTACTTAGGAGCTACTTTATCAACTAGGTTGCCCAATGAACGGCAATGTAATGTCTCATCATCAGTAACTTGGCCTGAATTGCTGAAGCAAGTATGGCTATGCTGCCTGACTGCTCTCAACTACCAGAAATAAACTATGTCTTCTTTGAACCTAACCTAGTGCCTATAGGCGCTAGGTTAGGTTCAAAGGTTTTAAAATGCTCTAACCTAGTGCTTATAGGCACTAGGTTAGAGCATTTCAAAACAATATTGTAAACTTTTTCATGCCATAGTGTTAAAACTGCATGCCATAGATATTGCTGTGTGTCAATAGCGCTGTCTATACGCGAAAAATACACTGCACAACAGGAATCCAACACTGCATCCTGTGTTTCAGTACAGGATGCCATGCCAATGCTTCAAGCTGGTTTAGCAGAAGACCCCGCACAAATGTCGTGTTATGCAAGAAGCCGCAATAACAGATGTTAGTAAGGTGAGGTAGAAGCAAAGAACTGTTACAGGTAACACACGAAAAAGGTAAACGAAACATAACTTTTTTGTTCAGGCGTGAAACCAGAATTTTTTTAACAGATTTTTTTTTGGTTTCCGATAAATTGCAAGTCCCGAACTATGTAACGTGAGCAATAATACATTCCTCAGAATGCAGTACTACCACGTTCTTCAGGCAAGGATTCTTGAGCAAAGATGTGCCGAAACTGCCTGAAAGATGAAAATAGTGGCGACCAAAGATGTTAGGATAAATGCAAGTAGACTTTCGTGTGCCCGTCAAGCTGGCCAGAATAAAGAGAGCACTCTCAATGCTGGTTTGTTTTATCAAAACAGTGGCAGGGCAAGTACAGGTTTCTAAGGCGAAAATTCAAGGATACTCAAGGACTTTCCAGGACCTGCCACAGGTTTTTCAAGGACTAAAAGCGGCACGCAATCTGGAAAATTTTCAACTACAAAATTGACTCATTTTTATTGCACTTATATAGCATGCATACTCTAATTATATCATGTCTAGACTGCACTTTAGCTCACTTTAGTTTCACCAGCTTCACCGCTCGCACAATAAAGAACGAGCCAGCATCGAAGAGCATTGTATGTCATTTCGTTTGTGCTTTGACACAGTAAATCTTTATTCCCCGCGGAGTTTTAGAAAACCAAACCATATTAACTCATGCCAAATTAATGTTCCAGAAATTGAGAGCTGGCCAGGTCGACGCCGATGCATACCTGTCAAGTTCCAAGGATTCTAAATCTGGGAGATTTCGTCATCGTGAAGAGGGTGGGGGGTATCGCGCTGATCTATTCTCCCCCCTTTTTTTTGCACCAAAGGAAAAGCATTGCTAAAATACGGGGAGGTCAGTACACATTGGCGTTGCATGGTCTCGTACCAACTTGGAGTGGCTCAGCACTAGAGGGTAGGGTTCCCCAAACTACAGTAAAAAGCGAGTCTCGGAAGGGAGTTCATATTTCCAACATCGAAACAACTAGCAAAATCTATATTTCTGTCACAAGAACTCCCGTATGTCTTCCTGGGATTCTCGTGAATGGACGGGACTACGCAGCCAGTTGCCAGGAAAGTGCACGTTGAAGCTTCGCTTTAGGCTGACTGAGAACTTAATGTCTAAGTATTGACAAAGTACCCAGATCGACAAGAACAACGTTGGTTATTCTTTGGAAAGGAACACCAAAACCCTTCTAGCGTTTTTTACATCTTTATCTCCTCTATCGCTGCATTAGCGGAAACCATTAGTTTAGGTTTCAATCCACGTGTGCTGGTTGTGCATGTACCTTCAAAACCATGTTTTTTTTTTTTTGCTATGATCGCATCTGTCGCAATTCCGTCTACAGCATTCGTGGAACGCAACGTGACTAACTGGTTGAGCGTTGAAGGCGCGTGTACTTTCGGAGTTCTGTAACGTTGTCGCCACATGATTGTGCCAAGAGCGACTACGGTTTCGTCCACAACGGTTGTGGCAAACGATAACCGCAATTCTGACAGTGCATGCGTTGGCTGCGCGCGTCCTTCCAAAGCTTCAAGTACGCTGCTCTCGGATTTGTTGCACGGTTTCAGCAAAGTTCATACGACCAGCCGCGATGAGGAAAAGAGCTTGGAACATCCGAATTCTCAATGGACAAAGTGGAACTTGGCTGAAGAATTTCACGAATTTGTACATCTGCCGATTTCACATCATTGAGATTCTACTGTACATTTAGATCAACGCTTACTAAATTCGTTCCCAATAAAGTACAATGGGTTCGCAAAAAGCCTGCATTGGATTGGGCTGCTTTTCTGCCAGTGCAACCAGATCACCAGAAATTTAAATATTCAGAAGATTTTCCTGACAACTGTACAAGCGTACTGGTCGAAATCTGGGAGACTTGGCAGGTATGCGAGCCTACCACAAAAATTGGGGGTGCTCAGAAAATTCAAGTACTTTCAAGGATGGGAAAAAATTTCAGGACTTTCAAGGGCCTTGAAAACACATTTTTCAAATTCAAGGGTTTTCAAGGTTTTTAATGACCTGTACCCACCCTGTTCATGCCATGCACAATATAACTATGTTGCAGGAAACCTCGAAGTTCTAACAAGCATGGCACTCACCTTGCCGAAACAGAGCCTCTTGTTCATTGCTAGGAGCGCTGACGCAGCTGACTGGTGGTCGCTGAATTCAACAAAGCAATAGGGGTCATTGCCGGGCTGCAAGAACAAAGAAACTTGTTATCGACAACGTGAAGAGGCATTCTTTTCTCATTTTTTGTCCCTAATGAATTAGTGTTTTATAGGATGTAAAATAGCATTAAATTGGTAAGCAGGCTAACTGCAGAGTTGCCAGTTCTACTTATAATAGGTGTTCTACTTCTTTCTTCGCCGAGTTACTTGCAAGCTCCCTGTCTCTTGTCGAGCCTTTTTGGGCGTAATCCCATATTTTCAGCCAATATAGTTATTTTAGTTGTTCACCTATTCGTGTTTGTCACTCACTAATAGCGTGCTTGCCGATGACCGAGCACTATGCAAAGGGTTCCCCATCAAGGAGAACGAAGGTACATCGCAGCGGCCCTACAAAAGTTTGCCCCCCCCCCCCCCATCGAGCACATGCCTATGCTTGAAGGCTAAAACATACCTCGGGGAAATTCAAATAAACATTCACCCTAACATTCGTTGGCACCAATGCAAAAGGCACCAATGCAATTGAAGATGCGTCACAGGAAGATAACGCTTCGATCGGCATAACCTGTCTGGTGCGATTCACAGCAAGACCTCACCCTAGTATTCAGTGCGTAATCGAATTGGTTGACTGCCAACGATGCTTTGACATTGATTTTTCAGGTTTTTTGGATTGCCCTCTCTTCAATCAATTACTTAGAAATAAGTAAAAAAGGCAATCAATTACTTAGAAATAATAAAGCCACTCCTCCCATATCAGTCGGTGAAGAGGGGAACAGCGACGGCCTGCTTGCTGAGCGTCAACAAGCTATGCCCCGAGCATATGACAGTGAGTTTCAATGAACAATTTGGCAATTTCCGCTCTGCTACACACAGGTTTGCCAGCATTGCTAAGAACTTTTCAAACTCGAACTCATCAATAAGGAATCCCACCAGCCAGCCAGCTTCCAGCACATACGAGGTAAGTTACAGTCATTTGGTATATCCACATAAATATAGGGCAACCCACATGCATAAAGTCCGCGCATTGTCTGATCTTTGTATGTGTTTTCGGCTCTCACAAAAATGCAGTGTTCATGCAGACCAACCAGACCAAAAAGCAGGGGTGCAAAAAAAAAAAAGCATCAAAATAGGTTTGCAGTGATGGAAGCGACATTTTGCTTTTAGGAGCAGATTCTGGAGCAGAAAAAATGGTGCTTTGGACCAGGCTCAAGTGTCTTCAGAGCAGAAAAAAATGCTATAGCTTAGGGTTGCTATAGATGTTTTCGGAGCAGATGCATGTTCCTAAAGACTCCTCAAGTCTTAAACATCACTTAAGCATCTAATGAATATTTATATTTATTATTAAACATGCCGTATGCTAGCATGCAGCTAGTATACAAGCAGTATAGTTGGCGTGAATCATGGGCCAACTATACTGCTTAGTATAAGTCAGCTTTAATCTAGATCCGATAAGTCGGTGGGGGGGTCGAGAGTCGACTTTTCTGGTGTTCAGGTTGTGGTGGACACCCCTTGCAAGTGTCCCGCTTGAGATTTAGCTTTAGCACATGATATAATTGACTTGACAGTCAAGTACAGTGCAATCAACTTTTTAAAAAGCTTTTTATCTTTTACTGCACAGCTGTGTTCAAATGCCCGTCAGCTGTGTGAACTATATAAATCGAAAAAAGGTGAAAAAAAGACTGAATAGAAAATGCAGTTGCTCGGGCTTAAACCCCATGCTCATTTTTTTCTATTTTTAATTGAAAGCATGATTAAACCGCTATGTAAATAAAAATGCAACCCATATTAAAAATACAAATTGGACACCATAGCCTGATATGTGTCACCCTTTGAGATTTTTGTGGATTTACTCCAGTGAGTAGCATACTAGGATTATAGTGTATACAGCTTGCTTTTGCTTAGGCTCACGGGATGGTCTCATGGTTCAACTTCATTCTTATTAGTTTGCCAACACTGTTTTGGAGCAGCATTTCTCTTTTGTTGAGTTTGAGTTTGGAGCAGCCCTTCCATCACTGGGTTTGTAGAATGTGAGAATGCAGTAGTTCACAAGCTTTCATTAGGGACTTTTAGCTTGTACATATACTATTATTGAATGTTACCGGAATACCGGATAAAGTTTATAGTGTCACCGGAATGCATGTTTAGAAAAGTTTTACCTCCCCATACATAAACATTTACGTATCTACATAAATGTATACCTTCTTACGTTTGCACAAATCACTAAATGGTGGTGATAACTTAATTTAAACAATATTTGATAGATAAACTTAATAGCTGTGGCAAAATCATGAAAGAGGCTTTTAGCACATACAGTATCCCAGTATACACAAAGCGGTGCGAAAATACCAGGTTACCGGATGATGGTGTCGAAATCTTGTCACACATGATGCAACCACAGTCAAAGTAACTTTTGTTATCTCCCAAGGCTTATGAGAGAAAAAATTAATAAAAAGCCGACTCATTCATAATTATGCTGCTGCAAGGCATGTACAGAAGTACAATGCACAATGTTTCCGCAATAGCTATTTTGGGCTTGCCTGGTTTACCTTAACCGTGTTAGTGCGATCTATCCAGCCGGTCGGGGCTTCAGGCCTCTCACGTTTACAGCTTTAGTATTATAGCTCAATCCAGATCCAGTAATTCGGCTTTAACCAGGTGACCATAACTAGCATTCGTACTTTCAGCTCACTATGACTCAGCAGCTGGAGTCTCCTCAAAGCGGACATCTCATGTAGCCCCGAACGAAAGTGGCTTTGCAAGATGAGGCCAAAAGGTAAAACCTAACAGGAGAGTAGTTTATGTTCTGTAAAAAGTCAACATACTTTCGAAGGAACACAGGGGTGTACAAAGGCTCTGCCACATCAGTACCTTTTTAGGGGGACACATTTATCTACATGTTTTGGACAAAGCTTTTCTTGAAAAAGTTGTCCATGTTTTATATTTTTTGTGCTCATAAAATTTTCTCTATTGCTCACAAAATAAACCACCCTGGGTCCTGCCGCACTTAGTATTTTATCAGATAAAAAAATGTGACCTTTCCCACTGACACAGACCGGATTGGCAACAAGCGCATTCCACCTTCTTGGCTCATGCCGACGGCACAGTGTATGAGCTGGTGCTTGGATGAGGGGCGTTCTTGAACAATTTTAGTATGTTTTAGGTCGATGCAGATTTTGTTTTCTTTCATTGTGATGTCAGCCAACAAAAGGTCAACCAGAGTTGCTGTGCCATGTTTGGCTGTTGTAAAAAAGAGAAAAGAGGAAAAAACTGCTCCTTAAATAATTATGCGCCGCACATCACCAAACGCCAAATTTTTGCGGTTGCATACTCTTCAAGGTATATCATTTGCATTTCGTCGTAAGTTCTATATCGGCAAGTGCCACAATGTATCTGGAATACGCGTAGTTCCAATCAGTAAATTGACAATTGGATATGCCCACAATGGCAACCAAACATAGGCAGTCAAGTACGGGCCTGTCCGTTAAAATCCCCACTTCACAGCGGGCTGGCAGTACATTTAATCTGTGCATCACACCGGCCTTGTGAAACCTAAACATTCCCTGAAAGTTACCTAAAAAGGACGTGGCAAGATCTTCGTCACGATTGTACAACTTCTGTAAGATGATAGGATTTCGTGCACAATGGGTGATATGAAAGCCATTAAAAAATAGTCACTTCGTGTGCAGTATTCTGCACATGAACTGACAGAACAGTCTTCAAAAGCAGTACTTCAGAAAACAATAGTTTGTGTAATCAAGAACTCTGATAAGCCGTGCAATGATAAGAAACATAGCCGATTCCCTTCTAAAAGCAAAATAAAAACCACGTTATGGTTCTCTAGAGCTTTTATGACTATCAATTTCGCTGCTCGCCTTTGTGAACGACAGCCAGAATTTCACAAGAACACTACAAGTGGCAGACGAAGTTATTAAAAAAATACACACAAATACTTATGTCAATGATAGGCTCGAGCCCGGCAAAAATAGCAATGGCTCGAGCCTGGCAAAAAACTCTCTTAACAACGATTGTTCATTTTATCACCGTCAAAAACGAAACGCCATGACTCTCAAAAGTACAATAGACTCTCAGTTAACGGAAATCGGTTAAACGGAACTACTGCTTAAACAGAACTATTGCCTCTGAAATACCCGATTTTGGGCTTGTATTCTGCACCCATGTTCACCTCTCAGTAAACGAAACTCCTGTTAAATGAAACATATTTTCCCGGTCCTTTCAGGTTCCGTTTACAGAGAGTCTACTGTAAAAGAAGCGCAGTAGCAAGTAAACTTCAGCATCGCTTTATGTACCAGCCCCTTTCTGGAAGCAGTTCCAAATTCATTCACACCAGTGGGCATCCCCTGTGGTGCCCTGAAGCAAGCAAGTTTTCTAGCTGTGACAAACCTGTTGTTAACTACTTATTGAAACAGAGAAAAACAAGATGCTATGTTTTTGAGCCTCCTTCAGCGTGAGCCAAGAATAAGGTGCTGACACTCGCCACTTCGTGTAAAGAGAGGGCAGATTGTGTTTGCCGGTAACCTTGAGCTACGAGTAGTTTTCGTCGCGCGAGTCGCCATGGCGCTACTGTATACGCGCGCGGTGCTCACTCTGAAATTTGCATGCAAAAGAACATTTTCCTGAAAGCTTTGTCTGCAAGGGCTTTTGTGATTTAGAAAGTGTGTTGCCCTGTGCCCTGCCAGTGCGCTTGTCTTGCTGATTCAATTGCAATTCAGCGCACGTATACCTCAACGCTGCTTATGACTCCTGAGTAGGCACCAGTGGCCTTGTCGCTGGCTGCGCCTCAAAATGGGCAAATGGTGTTTTGTCCCGAATTGCAAGTCGGAATATCAGACTTGTATGAAGCGTGTCAGTTTTCAAGGCTCCTAGTGAACAAGAACGCTTGGATAAGTGGTGACGGGCAATTTCCAGAGCTGACAGAGCCTTGTATCCTACTGACCATGTGTGTACTAAGCATTTACTGGCAGAAACAATCTCTACCACATATCATGCAGAATACGAGAGAAACATCCTGT